TTCCAATTTCTTTAAAATTAGTTAAAAGCTAATTTGATCATATCTAAAATTCTTCCAGATAAACTTTGGTTTCAAACACAAAATCCATCTTAAACTGTAATATGGTTTTCAACCATGTTTCCCTTCCTCTTTGTACATAGTAGTTAGTTTAGTTGAGTTTTACTAGACTTAGTTGAGAGTGTTAACCGGAAATATGTTTGACTTGGAGCTGAATGATTTTTCTTAATAAACTCTTATATTTTGAACAGAAGTTGTGGTGAATTTATTCCATGTATGTGCAGAATTAACTGTTTGACAATGATTAGAGCTGGAATCACTCTTTCATTTATTGTTCTAACGTACAGCCAATAGGGATGTGTGTCATAAACAGTATATAACAGCCGAAACAATATCTGATTAAATAAGATATTTTAACCCGCCCCATTTCAGGGATCGCAATAAACATCTTAAAGTATCAGAAGTATAAATTCCCAGCTGGCTGGGAATAGAACTGAACATTAAAATACAACACTCATAAATAGTTTATTGAAAAAGCAAAAAAAAAAAAGAAGGACACCTGGAATAAATATTCTGTATCACTAAGTTTAACAAAACAGTTGGGTGTGATACGTAGAGGTCAGAGCAGGGAGAAAATTCTTCTGGTCACTTGGATTGGATCCTACCGACTACGAAGAGATACAATGGAAGACACAAGGGAGGTTTCATTGCTATTCCACATAGCAAGTCTTTGTTATTCCATACTACAGGAAAACCAACATAATAAGATTTTGCCAGTGGACCATATTAATAGTGCATAGCGTTAGCACTCGAGCGTTTACACATTTCGTTGAATCCATCTACATGAGGGGATGTAGCTCAGTGGTAGAGTGCATTCTTTGCATGTATGAGGTCCTGGGTTCAGTCCCCAGCATCTCCATGATTTTAATATCAATATATTCCTCTGATCATTGCAGTGACTCCTGATTCATGGTAATCATCAGAGATGAGGTGAATTAAGAAGCAAATTTGATTTGACTTAGATACCATGTAAGATAAACTGTGTCACATAATAATGTTGCAAATTAACAGCAGAACCACAGATGTTGGTTATCATGCAATAGAATGTATTCTATTCTTCTGTGCAAATGACAGAACCCATAGTTTCGTACATATGTAGAGCTTTCTCAATGCTTTAACATGGCTGGCACTAACAATATAAACGTGAATTGTCTATACCATGCTACAATGTGGGATTCAGAAAAAGATGTTGAAATGTCTGAAAGGTTGGACACAGGCGAGAGCGTATCGGGAGATGGAGACGGAGACCACCATGACCTCCCTCAGGCTTGGCCCTATCTCAGAGAATTTTTTTAAATAGTCAAAAAATTTTGCTTTCAATTCATACAGAGCCATCTGGCTGTTTTTTTTAAGGTTACTTTATACTTTTATACTTTAAGTAGTTTTTGGAGTAGATACTTTTTCACTTTTACTTGAGTAAAGAGGTCAAGTTGATACTTCAACCTTTACCAGAGTGTTTTTAAACTGCAGTATCTACACTCACCAGCCACTTTATTAGGTACACCCGTCCAACTGCTCGTTAACCCTTAATTTCTAAGCAGCCAATCACATGGCGGCAACTCAGTGCATTTAGGCATGTAGACATGCTCAAGACAATCTCCTGCAGTTCAAACCGAGCATCACTATGGGGAAGAAAGGTGATTTGAGTGACTTTGAACGTGGCATGATTGTTGGTGCCAGAAGGGCTGGTCTGAGTATTTCAGAAACTGCTGATCTACTGGGATTTTCACGCACAACCATCTCTAGGGTTTACAGAGAATGGTCCGAAAAAGAAAAAAACATCCAGTGAGCGGCAGTTCTGTGGGCGGAAATGCCTTGTTGATGCCAGAGGTCAGAGGAGAATGGCCAGACTGGTTCGAGCTGATAGAAGGGCAACAGTGACTCAAATAACCACCCGTTACAACCAAGGTGGGCAGAAGAGCATCTCTGAACGCACAGTACGTCGAACTTTGAGGCAGATGGGCTACAGCAGCAGAAGACCACACCGGGTGCCACTCCTTTCAGCTAAGAACAGGAAACTGAGGCTACAATTTGCACAAGCTCATCGAAATTGGACAATAGAAGATTGGAAAAACGTTGCCTGGTCTGATGAGTCTCGATTTCTGCTGCTACATTCGGATGGTAGGGTCAGAATTTGGCGTCTACAACATGAAAATATGGATCCATCCTGCCTTGTATCAACGGTTCAGGCTGGTGGTGGTGGTGTCATGGTGTGTGGAATATTTTCTTGGCACTCTTTGAGCCCCTTGGTACCAATTGAGCATCGTTGCAACGCCACAGCCTACCTGAGTATTGTTGCTGACCATGTCCATCCCTTTATGACCACAATGTACCCAACTTCTGATGGCTACTTTCAGCAGGCTAATGCGCCATGTCATAAAGCTGGAATCATCTCAGACTGGTTTCTTGAACATGACAATGAGTTCACTGTACTCAAATGGCCTCCACAGTGACCAGATCTCAATCCAATAGAGCATCTTTGGGATGTGGTGGAACGGGAGATTCGCATCATGGATGTGCAGCCGACAAATCTGCAGCAACTGTGTGATGCCATCATGTCAATATGGACCAAACTCCCTGAGGAATGCTTCCAGCACCTTGTTGAATCTATGCCACCAAGAATTGAGGCAGTTCTGAAGGCAAAAGGGGGTCCAACCCGTTACTAGCATGGGGTACCTAATAAAGTGGCCGGTGAGTGTATACTTCTACTTAAGTAACAAATGTGTGTACTTTTGACACCACTGCTTATGACTCATTTTAATGAAAAGGGGGAATCGTCTATTCTGTGTCAGACTTAAGCAAAAGTCATTTTCACTCATGTTGTGCCATATGCCATGATCATACTTTTTGGATATTGGGAACCAGTGTCCATATTTCATCTTGACATGATGATGTGGAATCAGCTGGGGAATCTCTGCAACAACCCTGTTTCAGCCAAGGCCTCCACAGACAAGTCATGTGGCAAGTCACAGAGGTTTGACCAACCACCAGCCCCCTCTGTGTGAGGACAGACAAAACCACAGAGCACACAGAATTCTCTCTCTTTTCTCTTCTGCTCCTGCCTTCTTTGCCTCCTCTACCCTGCCCAGGAAGCTGAGGTCTGCTTAAGCTGGTTCTCCACCACAGTGGAGATGCGGGCCCCAGGGGAACCAGATCTCCAGAACCATCAAGGATAAGTCAGAACCTTTCAGAATCAAACTGCTGCAAAACAGACATTTTGCAACACATTTCTCTGGAGTTTCAGAACTTATAGAACCAGACTGGAGAGAAGGACTGCCTGATGAACCACTGAGACAAAGAACCCCTGCTGTGCAAATGGATGAAACTCAAGCTTTCCAAATGGACATGGAAAAAGGTTTGCAGGTCTGGCATGATTAGGGACAGAACGAACAACATGTGTTTACTGATGAGTAAAGTCAAGCTAACAGAATAGACTGCACGCTACGCTATGCTACAGGAATATGTGTTGAGCTGTTGCTGAAGCTTGGACAAGCTTTATTTCACTAAGGGTTTAAACACTGATATAACATTAGTGTTCATGTGTTCCTCAGATACTCATTACATTTCCATTAGCAAGTATGACCAAGAGTCATTTAGTGGAATCCTGATGTCTATTCACTGCTAGCTATTTCAAAGAGGGTAAAGAATCATTTAAATAAAGGTTGTTGGTTCTTGTTTAAGCAAATCACTCAATAAAACATTATTTGGCCAAATAACCTCATGGATTTACATTGTGAATTGGTCTGAAAACATTCCAATTTCTATCAAATTAGTGAAAAGCTAATTTGAACATATCTCAAATTCTTCCAGATAAACTTTGGTTTCAAACACAAAATCCATCTTAAACTGTAATATGGTTTTCAACCATGTTTCCCTTCCTCTTTGTAGATAGTAGTTAGTTTAGTTTAGTTGAGTTTTACTAGACTTAGTTGAGAGTGTTAAACTGAAATATGTTTGACTTGGAGCTGAATGATTTTTGTTAATAAACTCTTATATTTTGAACAGAAGTTGTGGTGAATTTATTCCATATATGTGCAGAATTAACTGTTTGACCATGATTAGAGCTCGAATCACTCTTTCATTTATTGTTCTAACGTACAGCCAATAGGGCTGTGTGTCATAAACAGTATATAACAGCCGAAACAATATCTGTAAAATAAGATATTTTAACCCGCCCCATTTCAGGGATCGCAATAAACATCTTAAAGTATCAGAAGTATAAATTCCCAGCTGGCTGGGAATAGAACTGATCATTAAATTACAGCACTCATAAATAGTATATTGAAAAAGCAAAAAAAAAGGACACCTGGAATAAATATTCTGTATCACTGAGTTTAACAAAACAGTTGGGTGTGATACGTAGAGGTCAGAGCAGGGAGAAAATTCTTCTGGTCCCTTGGATTGGATCCTACCGACTACGAAGAGATACAATGGAGGATACAAGGGAGGTTTCATTGCTATTCCAAATAGCAAGTCTTTGTTATTCCATACTACAGGAAAACCAACATAATAAGATTTTGCCAGTTGACCATATCAATGGCGCATACCGTTAGCACTCGAGCGTTTACACATTTCGTTGAATCCATCTACATGAGGGGATGTAGCTCAGTGGTAGAGCGCATGCTTAGCATGTATGAGGTCCTGGGTTCAGTCCCCAGCATCTCCATGCTTTTAATATCAACACATTCCTCTGATCATTACAGTGACTCCTGATTCATAATAATCATTAGAAATTATGTGACTTAAGGGAGATCTCTGTTTCATTGCTATTCCAAATAACAATTCAGTGTTATTCCATTCTACAGTAGCACATAGCGATAGCACTCTGTTGTTCACACATTTTATCAAGGAGCTTTACATGGAGGGATGTAATTCATACCTCTATAACAGTAGATCATAGTTATAGCGCTCTGTTTTTTACATATTTTATCAGCTAATTACATGGGGATGTAGCTCAGTGGTAGAGCGCATGCTTTGCATGTATAATGTCCTGGGTTCAATCCCCAGCATCTCCATGATTTTAATATCAACATATTCCTCTGATCATTGCAGTGACTCCTGATTCATAATAATCATTAGAGATGAGGTGAATTAAGAAGCAATTGTGATTTGACTTAGATACCATGTAAGATAAACTGTGTCACATAATAATATGGTGCAAATTAACAGCAGAACCACAAATGTTGGTTATCAAGCAATAAAATGTTTTCTATTCTTCTGTGCAAATGACAGAACCCATAGTTTCGTACATATGTAGAACTTTCTTAATGCTTTAACATGGCTGGCACTAACTATATAAACGTGAATTGTCTATATCATGCTACAATTGTTTAAAATTAAGAATTTTATTTCAAATCAGGTAAAAGAATCAGTGATGGAGTTTTAGTGTACAGAGGAAAAATGACCTGATGCCATTGGTGTTAGAATGGATTGAAGAAGATAGATAGGCAGATAGACACATAGACACATAGACAGACAGAGATACTTTATCAATCCCTGATAGGGAATTTTTAATCTAATAATAAATTTGTTTAAGAATAAATACATAAGTTAATAAATAATAATAATATATAACATTCAGTACTTTATGGGGCATTTAGAATTCCATCAGTTTAGTTTAGTTTGCCCTGATTCTACTTCATTGTTATATTAATTCAATCATTCAGACAGCAGACCTGATATCTAATTAGAAATTCATCAGTAGTCCTTAATGTATTGGGATTAATAATTTCTTTCGTCTGGATTATTTCTCATATAGGAATAAAAATGGAATGAGATACTGCTAAATCTGCAAAACCAGCTACTAAAAGCAGTCAGATTGATATAATAGAAGGAAAAACAGGAAAGAATAGAAAGGAATAAATAATCAGATCAAGATTCTACTTTGGTCAAACAGGTTTAAACCGAATGTTAATTAAATTAGGGAAACATACTACAGGGAAATTAGATTTTTATTTTCCAGAAGACTCATTGGATCATGATTTATTGTTTTGCATTAAATTTGTAGATCAGAGGAATTAATTGGTAAATAGATTACAAGCCAACAAATTACAACTAAACATTAAAGACCTTTTAGATAAAGACTCTAAATCAGAGGGTAATTCTTTATACTATATACAGGTGCTGGTCATAAAATTAGAATATCATGAAAAAGTAGATTGATTTCAGTAATTCCATTTAAAAAGTGAAACTTGTATATTATATTCATACATTACATACAAACTCATATATTTCAGATGTTTATTTTGTTTAATTTTGATGATTACAAATGACAACAAATGAAAATCTCAAATTCATCATATCAGAAAATTAGAATATTGTGAAAAGGTTCAAAATTGATGGCCCCTGGTGCCACACTCTAATCAGCTAATTAACTCAAACCACCTGCAAAAGCCTTTAAATGGTCTTTCAGTCTAGTTCTATAGGCTACACAATCATGGGGAAGACTGCTGACTTGACAGTTGTCCAAAAGACGACCATCGACACCTTGCACAAGGAGGGCAAGACACAAAAGGTAATCGCTAAAGAGGCTGGCTGTTCACAGAGCTCAGTGTCCAAGCACATTAATAGAGAGGCGAAGGGAAGGAAAAGATGTGGTCGAAAAAAGTGTACAAGCAAGAGAGATAACCGCACCCTGGAGAGGATTGTGAAACAAAACCCCTTCAAAAATGTGGGGGAGATTCACAAAGAGTGGACTGCAGCTGGAGTGAGTGCTTCAAGAACCACCACACACAGACGTATGAAAGACATGGGTTTCTGCTGTCGCATTCCTTGTGTCAAGCCACTCTTGAACCACAGACAGCGTCAGAAGCGTCTTGCCTGGGCTAAAGAGAAACAGGACTGGACTGCTGGTGAGTGGTCCAAAGTCATGTTCTCTGATGAAAGTAAATTTTGCATTTCCTTTGGAAATCAAGGTCCCAGAGTCTGGAGGAAAAGAAGAGAGGCACTTCATCCACGTTGCTTGAAGTCCAGTGTAAAGTTTCCACAGTCAGTGATGGTTTGGGGTGCCATGTCATCTGCTGGTGTTGGTCCATTGTGTTTTCTGAGGTCCAGGGTCAATGCAGCCACATACCAGGAAGTTTTAGAGCACTTCATGCTTCCTGCAGCTGACCAACTTTTTGGAGATGCAGATTTCATTTTCCAACAGGACTTGGCACCTGCACACAGTGCCAAAGCTACCAGTACCTGGTTGAAGGACCATGGTATCCCTGTTCTTAATTGGCCAGCAAACTCTCCTGACCTTAACCCCATAGAAAATCTATGGGGTATTGTGAAGAAGAAGATGCAATACACCAGACCCAACAATTCAGAAGAGCTAAAAGCCACTATTAGAGCAACCTGGGCTATCATAACACCTGAGCAGTGCCACAGACTGATCGACTCCATGCCACGCCGCATTGCTGCAGTAATACAGGCCAAAGGAGGCCCAACTAAATACTGAGTGCTGTACATGCTCATACTTTTCATGTTCATACTTTTCAGTTGGCCAACATTTCTATAAATCCTTTGTTTTTATTGGTCTTCAGTAATATTCTAATTTTCTGATATGATGAATTTGAGATTTTCATTTGTTGTCATTTGTAATCATCAAAATTAAACAAAATAAACATCTGAAATATATGAGTTTGTATGTAATGTATGAATATAATATACAAGTTTCACTTTTTAAATGGAATTACTGAAATCAATCTACTTTTTCATGATATTCTAATTTTATGACCAGCACCTGTATATATTTTCTTTTATTGTGTTTTAAATCCCAAACCACAGTCCTGTGCAGATGGTGGCGGCAATGCGCCAAAGGTTGCTTGACAACCGCCAATAACACATGAAGAAGAAGCTAAGCTAATGCTCCTACTGCTGCTAGCATTAGCTTAGCTTGTGTGTGGAGTCATTGTAGAGAGGCTGATAATCTGGGAGTGTTTGCAGTGAGAATGTCTTCAGTCCAGCTTCAAGGAGAGTTTATCACCGAGCAGTTAACTCCTGCTGAAGAAACATTCACGGAGTTTAAAGGGAGTTTGGTCAATTCGGAGGAAAAGATGGACGATCAACATCTACTGCTGGATTTCACCAGGATCCCCCAGATCATCTTACACCGGATAGGTAGGAAACACCTGATAGAAACGATTCCCTGATGATGCACACTGTGGATTTTAGCCTCATCTGATTGACAAAACTGCTTAGAGGAGATAAAGATGCTAAGCTAAAGCTAACTTCCGGTCGGCGGCCATCTTACTAGGGTCAGCTCGCTCACTTACAGCATTGGGTTCTAATGACTGCGGTCTAGTTTGTCATTTGCTCCGGTTAAACCTGTTCTTCGCTCAGAGTTCACTGCAATCGGAGAAAGTAGTCCCTGCCATAGAGATAATATAAGAGCAGACCCCGCATTGACTGTCGCGGCGCAGAAATTGCGGCCGCCATCTTGGGAAGGTCGACCTGCTGCTCTATGCAGAACAGTAGAAGGATGCCTCAGCACTGCAGAGTGTTTTTGTTTAAATCAACAGACTGTTGACATCAGGGCTGGAGGGAGAACTTCATGAAGGCATCAGAGCTTTGGAAGACATTACTAAATAAACAGCAGATATACACTACATAGAATAGAAACTCACTTTGTTGTCCCACAGAGTTACAGCAGCAACAGATTACAGTAAAAGTGGCCACACAATGTGGACCTTAAAAAGTGCATAATAATAGAATAAGTGGAATAATAATAATAAAAAATAATAATAATAACAATCCAAAAAAAAAAAAATTGGTAAAACAAAACAGTAAAAAAAACTAAACAAGTAAAACATGGGTAAAAATAACATTCACATAAAATGTAAATAAATAAATATAAAACGGAAACAAAATACTGTACTGTGCAGTGTTTTTACAAATAAAAATACTTTTTGTGCATACCCGTATAAATATGTTTCTGTATATAGTAATAAAAATTATAAAAATGCATGAGTGTCTGTGCTTTGTAACATGTATACATCCTATCAGAATACTCTTTTACTCTTAACCACACTATGAATATTTAAATACACTGAACAATTTGTTTGTTTTCAACAAAAAAAAAAACAAACAAAAAAAAACAAAACTGATAAAATTAGTTCAATATCAGTGAGTTAAAGTTGATTAAAACTGATTCTGTTCCTGCTCAACACATTATACTGAGTGGAAGTGTCAAGTGCTCCAAGGTGGCGCCACCAAATCACGCCAGCATCCATTGGTGGAAGTGGTTGATGCAGAGTCTACTCTTATATTATGCCTATAGAGAAAACTGCTACAGTGTGTACTGACTCAAACTAAAACTGTAGGCCTCGGTTTGAAGCCGAAAAGCTATCAGGCTACCTATATACTAAGATATTTATAACACAATTAGAGGTTTGATATGCAAAACTAAAAGGTGTATCTCATGAAACCAGCAGAGTACCACAGATTCTGAGTCAATCGATCACAAAACCTGGAAACTATTGTCCAAAAATTCTAAAATTTACACATAAGTATTATTGAAAACGATTTGAAATGCAAAAATTAAAGCAGTCAATTGATCACATGATCTGGATTCTATTGAGCTAATATGCTAACATTTTAGACTCAACCAACAGAAAACTGTCTTTCACATGAAGGCAGAAGAACATTTGTGGAGATACATTGGATCCATAAAGTTTCTTGAAATTAAGCGAAATCAAAAACAGAAATGTGGTTTACAGCTGCTTTTTGTGTCTCTGCTTCCGTCTCCTTGAACCCCAGTCGGCCTCAGCAGATGGCCGCTCACACTGAGCCTGGTTCTGCTGGAGGTTTCTTCCTGTTAAAAGGGAGTTTTTCCTCTCCACTGTTGCTACAAGCATGCTTAGTGTGAGGGATTGTATTTGAGTCAATGAGTCGATGCAATCAGCGGAATTTCCTTGGATAGAAACTGAATCAGTGTGACTGGATTTTTTTTTTTTTTTTTACGAACAATATTATCAGAATATCCAGTCACACTGATTCAGTTTTTTTATCCAAGGAAAACCAGCTGATTTCA